TTTTTTTTTTTTTTTTGCTTGGGGCGGCCAAAAAGCCAGAGCCAGCCCTGGTCACAGATCTCCAGAACAACATGATAAAGCTCTCACGTCTTTTTGTGGCATTTGTGCAGAGGGCTATCACAAAGTCCATGCACTGCTTAACTCTCCCTCCCTGTTCTTTACGAGGACTTTGGAGCAACAGAAGTGACACTGCATACCCCTACAGTCAATCCATCCATCCATCAATCAATATATAAATATATCATAGATTTGACATAAGGTTCATTGCATTCTAGTCAGGATGTTTTAGCTAATTCTAGTTAGGCAGTTTTGATGCATATACCAGTAGTACTTTACATTATTACAGTCCTGTATTCTAGGACTTTGATGATCTGGGACCCTACACTTGTTTGTGAAGTTTACTAACTTAAAAAAACCCCCATATTTCCATTTGAACACTACAGATTTTATCCCCTATGTGTTTGAAGCAAATTGTTGACATTTCGTACTTCAAAAGTACTACAGCTTCAATCTCCTTTTGCAAGGAGTGTCATTCTGCTCATAGCTATGACCTCGTAAGAGATCAGAACAATAAGTCTGATGAAATACTCTGTGTTTACTTCAGACCTCCACCTCCTCATTCTTATCTGTTAAACTGTTGAGGCTACCACCAGGTTGTGAAACGTGCATACCCCTGAAAGGCAAACCTTAAGCTCAGCATCAGGCATAGTTTTCTCCTTGGCTATGTTTATTTTTTCCTTGACTATGTAATCTTCTTAAAAGCATTAAAACATTAGTGGAAGGGTAAAATGGCTAAAAGTAGTTGTATAAATGCCTCTAATAATTAATGCAGGTGAGTTCTTAAGGACTCAGTTTTAATAATATATTTGCGCATAGCCGTGTTCTTGATCATTACTAAGATCTGCTTTTGTTTAGGTAAATTATTAAACTTATGGACCAGTGATGACTTGATTCCTTATTTGGACATTGTCTTTCACTACAAAAATTAAATTCTTTACTGGAAACCATGTTATTAGTGGGCAGGCAACAGAGGGTATGAGAGTCAAAAAGGATATACAGTTGTCAATATACTAGTTTTTTTTATGCTGAAAAGCTGAATTCAAATGTTCTCTCCATATTAAGTATTTTTCATATTGCAAAAGTGTTCATATTTCTACTCTCTTGATTCTGCAAATCTACCACACAGTTTGGCTCAGTACGTTGGCTCTGTACCTTTCCAAACTGTGCCTGGTCAGTACTGTGTGTTTCAGCCAGTACTAGGAATCACTCGTTTTATGAACACTAATACATTATAACGACAATGATAGGGTATGGGTGTATTTTTGTTCTTTGGTAATAAAGAGTAATTATTAAGGATTAACCATAGCCAACTGACAAGATTTGAAACACAGCAGTCCTAGTCTTCCTTTAATGCTAAATTGTGTTTAACATCATGTTTGTTAACACATGGTCTAACACAATGTCCAAGGGTAGATCAGTAGGGTAATACGCTGGAGGGATTTGTGGAAGCTCCTTGGTCAATTATTGCTGCCAAATTAAAAAGAGTGTTGAGGTGATTTGGCAGCTTTTGATGGATTTTCCTTTTCTGAATATTGCTAACATGCCTCTGGCCAGGGATTACTTTTATCCCTGAGGCTCATAAAGGTGATTTAGAGATGGATGTTTTTCTTTTGAAAAGTACCAGACTAGTTTTCTGAGCGAGGATACACCAGCTTCCCTAAAAGGTCTGTGCCCCACCGCTCATTTCCAACAACACACGCCAAACACTGTGCTATACTATGAGTATACTCTGTTGTATATTATAGGGAAAAATATGTTTCCAGTGAAGTGAACTTAGTTGTAAGATTATTTGCCTAGTGGTGTTGCCCCCTTGGTTATGGTAAAATGATTTGTTTAAATGGGAAAATAAATTAGTAGACTCCCCACTTCCACACTCTTCTTCTTCTCTTCAAGTACAGCACTCCTGCCACACAGGATTGATTACATACTAAGAGGGGGACATTTTTGTGGGAGCTCCTTGATTCCCTCCCATTTTGTGGGAGTTTGTGGCAGACTTCATTGGCAGAGCTAAGTTACAACTTTGATGCCTAAATGTTCAGAGTTGGGGAAAATGGGCATATTCTGCTTGTCCAAGCAACCTGATTTTTGAGGTAGGGTTGGAATCGCATAACGTTTTGTTTTTAGTAATTTTTGTCTCTGAAAATTAATGAATGAATGAGTTTGTCAAAATTCCTGCTTTGGTGTTTTAAATATGGTGAAATTTAGGTTGGAACAACTTGTACAATTAAAAGTCTACACTTGTGATCTTCAGTGTGTAAGTATTTTGCTGACAAACACACATTGGGTATTTCATTGAGTATCTGAGTGAAAGAGCAATGATCGCAACATGGGTGACATGGTGCATTTCGAAATCCTTTCCCAGTCTGCTGGCTCTGTAGAAATCAAGTCATCAGCAAGCCTAGAATTATTTCTGAATATCACAAATGTAATCCCTGGCAACATTCATCATTAATTTACAATGCAAATATGTACCACAAAAAACATTAAATGAATGCTAAGGATCTGCTGTAAACCCCAAGAAAGACATACATTCACAGTAAAGGCTTAATTTCTATTGTGCTAGATATTCTTTGCAATGTGCAATATGTTCCTGGCAACATTCCTTTTAGATACTCCATTAGCCTCCTAGGTTTTGCTGCTGCAGTGATTATTCTTTGTTCTGAGAGGGCACTTCCTCTCTGAAGGCGGAAATGTGGATGTTATGAGGCCATCTAAACCAACACATCTTCCTGTGTTGGAGTCTTTGAAACTTAAAACATAATAAGTCTATCTGGGGCAAAAATTGCTCAGTAGTGTATGAGACATTTCTTAAAGGAAGATGACATGGTTTTGTGACCATTTTGAATATAAAGCGGAATTTTAAGGTTTCCCCGTGAGGTGGATAGGTGAACTCAAAATGATCCAGTTTTGTTTGAGTCCAGAAAAAGGGCTCTCAGCAGACACATTAGTTTCCTAACATCAGCAGGACATAACCTACTGAAGTGTTTTTTGTTAATAATGCTTGAGAAATGTTTTGTTATTTTGTTTCAAAATGCCAAAGTTTTGATTTTTTTGGTGGAATTCCTGGAGAGGGAATGCTTTGCATGGAAGCAGGACAAAATTGGAAGAGTCACTTGCTAAAAGAAAACCCTTGCACTTGCAAAGTGTTGACCTGCAGAAGAAGAAAGAAACGGTGATGCTATAGAAGGTTTCCTGTGCTGTCTGTGGCAGTCCCTTGGAGCGGGGGATGTGGAGGGAATGCAGGGGTGTCGTGCAAAATGTAAAATTTGGGGCAAAAAAAGAGAGGGAAATTCAAAGTTGAAATGATAAAAAAACAAATGGATACAAGCCTGACAGATATGTGCCAAATGGATTTGCACTGACTGATTTGAAACCACAGCATGCAGTGTATTCTGAAGTGCAGGCTACTGAGGGTATAAAGGCTTAAAAGTAAGGAAATGGCCACTGAAAAATAAACTGGAGGATTTTTTTTTTAGGGGATATCGGATGCTTTGTAAAATCAAAAAGACTTGAGTCTATCGGTGTCAGCATGTATGTCCTTCATGCATTTATCTGGTATCTGTTTGAAGCACAGAACAGTGAAAAGTGCATGCCACTGCAGAAAATTGCATCCTTCCCTGTGCGATAGGCATGGTTTAAAAAAATTATAGGGCCTGAAGCAGCTACCAGATTGGAAACAGAACCTTTGTCAATTGACATTATTTCACATCATGTCAGAGACATGGATGAGGATATCTGAGGGCAATGGCTTTCAAAACTCAGCAAAAGTGACTACTGTACTTAGCAAATCAGCTTGATGAGTCAGCTAATGTCATTGGTGCTTCACGGGATCTAGAGTTTGTGTAGTCTGTTTCTGATAGCTCTGTTGGAGATGACTTACTTTTTTCTAAAGCCTTGCCAGAGCACACAAGAGGAAATGCTTATTTAGGCCATTTCAGGAAGCAAAGATTTCCAAATTCAACCTGTATTACACTGGAGATTTTCTCACCTCCTACACGGTACTGCGAGGCATAATTAAATCCTGGCTGTAAAAGTGCTAAGTAAGTGAAAAGCATTATTTAGGCAAAAGTGGCTTTTTTGATTTCACAAACATTCACGTAATAGAAAATGTGCTATATGAAAATTTGTCACTTTTTTTAAAATTCTCCCAAAATTTGCCATTTATGGAACTTTTAGAACATTTAAAACAGGCACATTTTTATCAAAATGTTTATTACCATGACTGTTTTGCCCAGAAACTGATCTAGTTACTAGTAAGTCTAAGGGGCCAGATCCAGAGATGTTTAGAGCAGTGCTAAGGTACCTGGAGGTACGGCATAACTCCCTTGGCCCTGATTCTCAACTATGTCCAAGCCAGGGCCAGGGCCGGCTCCAGGCACTAGCCCACCAAGCTTGTGCTTGGGGCGGCACCTGGAGGTGGGCGGTGCGGCGCTCCGGCTCCGGCCGCCGTGGAGAGCGGGGCCACGGCCAGGCACTCGGCCCTCCCCCCGGGGCT